TTTGGTAAAAGTTTAGATAATGAAGATGTTTTTAGTCAATTAATATATTTAATGAACAGATCTCCAGTTGAGGGAAATGATAGAGCATTGGTTTTCTTTTACAGTGCTGAGGTTTCTTGCACAATGAATCATCACCTCTCTGGATTGGGTAAGATAGTACTAAAGTTTTTATTTTCTTTAAGGATAGGGACAAATTGGAAGTGTGTGTTCTCTTGGATGAGGTGTATTCATATATTTCTGTGTGTTATATAACACACGCATAGAGACACACACACACACACATTTGTTGTTTTCATTTTTTTTCTACCGGGGATCGAACTTGGGACCTTGCATTTATGAGGCAGACGATGGCACCACTGAGCTAAAACCCTGGCCCAGATAACCAAGATTTAAAAAAATTAAATAGAGACTTAAAATTAAAATATAACACCCAGAGGGGCAGGGGATTTAGCTCAGTGGTACTGCCGTCTGCCTCACAAGCGCAAGGTCCCATGTTTGATCCTCGGTACCAAAACAGAAAAAATCTTGATTATCTGTAAATTTGTAGGATTTATAAAAGTAAACAGGTATAGGATTGGTATTACTTATTGAGAGATACCAGATTAAAATACAAGTTCTTTGTATAATTAAGCAGAAGGTAGTTTTTATTTTTGGAATTTGTAGTCTTATGCTGATGTTATTGGTCTTATAAATATAATCTTTTCTTGCTATGACTGATTATGTTTTATTTATCATGAATGTAGTCTTGTCATAAATGGGATAAAAGAAGTTTATGGAAACCATTGCTTGCCACTTTTGGGGAAGGTGATAGGAACAGACAAGCTAGAAATATACTTGGAAAAATGAAAAGAGGGGAAACTTGAGATGAGAAATAAATACTTTGAGAAAAGTTATATAGTGTTTTAAAATATAAATGATTCATATACAAAAAGTTAATCATTTGGATCATGATCAAATTTTATAAAATTTGACTAGAAAATATATTAAGTATCTTTAAATCTCATATTTATTATATTCATATTTTATATGGAGGAAATATCAAAGTCCCTAAGCTTTGCATTCCTCTCCATCCTGATGTGCCTTTGTAGGTAGGAGAACCAGGAGACTCTATTTTTTAGTTAAACAGCTTACCCTAACTTCAAACTAGTTTCCTTTAACCCTGTCTTTCATATTTTCTATCATATTCCTTATGGAGTTAGTATAAAGTGGATTACCTAATTTTTAAAGTACCATGAGACATTAAATATTCTTTGTAGCCCATCATAGTCCTCTCTGTAGTTTTTTATGAAAAAATAAAACAAAATTTCATAACCACATAATAAGAGAATAACAATAGTTATTGCACTGTTTGTCTTTTCCTCTCATTCTCTACAGCATTTGTTATTATTAGATTTTTTTGAGGCTAGCTATTCTTTCTGGGGTAAGATGTTACTTCATTTTAGGTTTTATTTTCATTTCCCTGATACCCAGCAATGGTGAGCATTTTTTCATATATTTATTGGCCATTTATACGTCTGAGAAATATCTGTTCATTTTAGTTGCCCATTTTTGTTGATTGGGTTTTTTATTTTGGAGGTGGGTCTAATTTTTTTGAGTTCTTTGTACAGTCTTGATGTTAGTTCTCTGTCTGTGAAAGAGCTGGCAAAACCTTTTTCCTGTTCTGTAGATTGTTTCTTCATTCTGTTGGTTGTTTCCTTTGTATGCAGAAACTTTTAAATTTGATATAGTCCTGTTTGTTGATTCTCAGTATTATTTCTTGTGCCATTGGGATTCTGTTCAGAAAGACCTTTCCTATGCCTGTGATTTCAAGAGTTGTAATTACTTTATCTTCCAGCAGATTGTGTTTTAACATTTAGATCTTTGATCCATTTTGATTATAGCATAATACATGGTGAGATATGTGGGTCTACATTTAATCTTCTGCATGTGAATATCCAATTTTCCCAGTGCCATTTATTGAAGAGGCTATCTTTTCTCCAGTGTATGTTTTTGGCTCTTTTGTCAAAGATCAAATAGCTGTATGTGCCTGGGGTTGTTTCTGCTTCTTCTATTCTGTTCCATTTATCACATGCCTGTTTTTTGTGCCAGTACCATGCTATTTTAATTACTGTAGCTTTATACAATATCTTGAAGTCTGGAATTGTGGTAACACTTGTTCTGCTTTTGTTACTAAGGGTTGCTTTTGCTATTCTGGGTCTCTTACAAGTCCATAAAATTTTAGAATTGTTTTCTCTAGCTCTGTGAGAAATGACATTGGTATTTTGATTGGGATTCCCTTCAATTTGTATCAGTTTTGGAAGTATAGCTAATTTGATTATGTTGGTTCTGCCTATCTAGGAACAGGAGACATTTTTTCATTTTTGGATGCCTTCCTTAATTTCATTTTTCAATGTGATGACATTTTTTATTGTGGAGGTCTTTGCTTAGATTGGTTAATACCTAAGTATTTAATTTTTTGATGTATTGTAAATGGCATTGTTTTTGTAGTTTTCTTTTTCAGTGAGTTCATCATTAATGTATAGGAATGCTATTGATTTTTGTGTGTTTATTTTGTATCCTGCTATACTGCTTGATTTGGTTTTCAGTTCTAAGGGTCTTTTGGTCTTTTGAGTAAAGTATCATGTCATCTGCAAATAACAATATTTTGACTTTGTCCTTTCCTATACATATCCCTTTTATTTCTTTTTCTTGCCCGATTGTTCTGGCTAGTGTGTGGCTGAAAAGAATGCCCCCTGTACCAATTTCTAGGGGGGTTGGGAGTTTTCGGAGGCTTTTTGTTGTCTTGTTTTTTTCATATTTCTGTTTAACTTTTTTTTGTGTGATGGGGTTTGCTAATTCTTTGGCCCGGTGCCCCATTCTTCAGATGCAAGCCACAGAATTGTTTATGACTCCCGAGGCAATCCAGGTATTGGCATAGAGAGAAAAACCAGTTGCTGGCCACTACTGTGTTATCTTGTCTGTGGTAGTAAATCAGCAACAACAATGGCATCAAATGTGGATTGGCTATTCACAAACCTTCTGAATCACTTATGAGCGGCCCTTCACCAAAATAGAGAGGCCTCTGATATTAGTGAAGACAATTAGGTCCCCTCATTCATTGACTTACAGTAATTCAGAGCACTGATTCTGCTAGTTATTGGCAGCATGGCCATAGTTCAAATGTACCACTAGATGAAATCCCTTCTTGTTTAGGACTTCACCCTCTGATGTTCTCACCCACCGAACCTGGGTTCCCACAACAGAATCAGGCCATGTGGTCTTCCTGGTCTGAGTCCAGACCTACCAGGTGATCCGAGGGATCCCTATTTTTCGCTCTTACCCTCTCCAAGTCTATCTACCAAGGCTGTCTCTTACCTGGTCTCTGTGGGAGGCTATCACTTTAGTCTTGAAGTGAAATTCTCCTCTTGGGTATTGGTCTCTTCTTTGATCAGGTCAGTTGGTTGTTGGTTGTGTGCTGTGGAGAACCCAGGGATTGGAGCCAGGGTACATAGTTCCTGGATCCACCTGATTCTGGCATAGGGCCCAGTGGGTGTTTTTGTCGTTGTGGGGTGGGGCACATGATTCCTGGGTCCTCCTCACTCTGACACAGGATCCCACTGGGCAGCAGCATTGGGTGGGGGTATGATGTGCACTTCCTAGGTTCTCCTGGCTCCAGCACAAGGCTCTGGCAGATGCCAGTGTCCTCTCTATGCTTAACTTCTAGTCATTTAGAAAAATTTGTGAAAGTAAGCCTAGGTGATGATTGACCTGGGGATTATTCAGTCATAACTGTTGAATTGTTTTGTATCTGTTGTTATTGTCCTTCTGCTTCATGAAGTTAGCCTGGGTTATAATTATTAAGTTTTGCCGTCACATGGATTATCTTGAATCCTGTCTCTGCCCCCAACTGTCCCTATGACTTTTGTCATCTTAGTTGAGGCTGACATAAGAGATGAATGTGGGGATTCTGATCAGAATGAAAAGAATAATTTGGAGGTTGACAGTGGTTTGAATATGAAGTATTTATTAGAGTGTGTTCAAGAATAATTTATAAAGTAATTACCTAGGAAGGTTGCTAAAAAGTAGAGTTTTGGGTTTGTCTTCAGAAACTCAGACTCTGTATATCAGAATCTCTGACCACTGAACCATGACTCTAATTTTATAAGTTTAATTATAATTTGTAATCATTATAAAGTTTGAGAATTATCTTTTTTTTTTTTTTGTACCGGGGATTGAACTCGGGTCCTTGCACTTGCACAGCAGGCGGTGAAATTTAGTCTTAAATATTAAAAAATAATTCCAGTGATTTTTGAATGGTTGTTTTTTGTGATATATGTTTTTTATTATATTGTCAGTGAGGTAGAAATTTTTTTCCATTTCCATTTTTATACGTCATGCTAAATATGATTTTTCTAGGAGGATAGAAAGTTGACATTTATTTATCCAACTAGTACAGTGATACCTCAGTTCATGAACTTAATTTGTCCTATGAGTTTGGAAGAGATGGCCACATTTGTGTTTATGTGGGAAAGATGGCTGGGGTTGTGTTTGTCACCTGATGAAAAGTTTGCAAACAAAAACCAAAATTCCACCAAATACTTCGGTTTGCAAACCAAGTTGTTTGCAAACAAAAGCATCCATGAACTGAGGTACCATTGTATTTAGTAAATACCACTATTTAGTAAATACCAATATTAGAGTATCTTTTTAAAATGTTTTCATAAATATATCATGTTTAAATCAATTGTTCAAGTGATATCTCTTTGAATAGGTTAGGAAAGGAAGGCAGCCTGAAAATATGCTATGTAGAGAGGGGAAGAGGAGGGCAGGGGATTTAGCTCAGTGGTTTCAGAGTTTGATCCCCGGTACCACCAAAAAAAAAAAGGGGGAAGAGGTAGTTTTCTGGTGCTAACTGGCAAGAAGAAGTAACTACAAGTAATTTATATAACTACTATGAATAATTAAAAGCTGATGGAAATTTTCAAGGGTTTTGGTCAGGGTCATTTTATTTAATGGGTCATTTTAGTTAATGAAAGAGTACAATATCTTTGTGCTTTGTGACTGTTGCCTTCCCTCCTAAGAACGCTCTTCTTTTGGATATTATCTATGTTGGCTTGCTGTGAAGTCTTACTCTACTTTCAAAGAATTCAAGTTTCATCCATACATTGC